ACGTTGTACGCACGGTCACCTCACCAGCTGGTTCAGGAAGCGTTAAGCTCAGTAGTCGCTCGAAACACTTCTTGGCGCCTGCATCGGTAAACTCTATGTCCACATACGGAAGAACCCACGGTGGCAGGGTGGACGAAGCCGGCACCATAGGGCGAATACCAGATAACACTCGGTGAGGCAATGGCTCAACCGACGGTGCACCACCACGACGCGGCACCGAAGTGTAGGTTGCCATAATCATGCGTCCAGGTCCAGCATCGAGAGTCCAAATAGGCGGACGAGAAGATGCTGGTGCCGGAGGACTTGCTGGTGGCGAAGGAGGTGGGCCAGCAACGATGATTGGGGAAGTCATCATCGGCGAAGGATTTGGCCGAGGTGGAGTCGGAGGACGAGCTGGGCCAAGATTACTCCAGTTCCTGTTTGAATCTTCAACATCCTCGTCATCGAGTATGCTTGAATGATCGGTGGGGGGCGGAACATCACCGCTACCACTGGGAGCATCAGGAGAGTCATCCACCGAAGATTCATTGTCATCCACGTCATCTCCATAGTCGTCATCAGCATTCCCATCGTCATCAATCTCCATCGAAAGGCCAGGCGAAGACACGCTTGGTACATCAGTCGTGGGAACAGTCGGAGCCGACTTCGAAGACGCGGAAGCTAGTGGAGCAGCCTCAACAGGGGCAGACCCTGCTGTAGAAACCACTCCCGAGACTTCAACTGCCTTGGATGTCGCGGCAGACGCCGAAGCAGACTTGCCTTGTGGGACAGTCTGGTTTGACTCTTCATCTTCGTCACTCGAGCCAAACATGAGCCGCATTTCCTCGGCCTCGCGCAGAGCCTCTTCAGCAGCACGTATGTCGGCTGGAGAAGGTGAAATCGTTGAAGCTGGTGACTTGGCCACATCGTGTGGACCCTGAGGCGGGGGCGAAGGCGCGTCAGGAGAGACAGGAACATCGTCGTGATCCTCAGGGTTCACGTCCTTACCCGAAGGCTCTGTAGCAGTTTCTTGAACCGAATTGACGCTGCCTGGATCAGCAGTCCCCATGTCCACGTCACTCTGGTCGCCGCTGAGGTCGACCACTGCAGGAATCGAGGAAGACGCTGGTGTAGGAGGTGGCGACCATGAACTTGGAGAAGACGGTACAGACTTGGACCGAGTCTTCATATGACGTCGTGGTGACTTAGCAGGAGAATGAGGACGGGGTTTCTTGCGCTTCTTCTGGGTCGCCTTCTTCCACGCCTTCGGACCGAACAGCGATCTACGAGCCGACTTGAGAGTTGAAGTATCGGCAGGTGGCGCATCACCGAGACCGGCAGCTGCCATCGAAGCACTGGCCTTGTCCGTTGGGATTGGAGCCTTGTCTTCGTCAGAGTCGTCCGGATCGTCGTCTGAATCCTCGCCACCTGGTCTAAGACGCTTATGGGACTTCCCATGGGCCACTTGGTGAGCTGCTTTGGCCAAAAGCTGCCGGAAAGGCTTGAGGATTGTCCGAAGAAGCGGTGGCAGATTGAATACGCCGCAGAGCAACTAACCGTCTCCTGGTCCAAGTCCAGCGCATCCAGGTCCAGCTCACCTGCAGTCAGACCTATCACGAAGGATTGTGAACGAACGTTAGTTGCTGAACACACGGTGGAAGGAGCAACATTAAGAGCGTACCTTCGACAGCCAGACGAAGTACCTCGGGATCCATCCCTGCCAGACTCACGTGTGCACGGAGGGTACGATTCGCTTGGAGGAGGCGAGTGCTACGGTCTTGCTGGTTCTCGACGACCTTGAGCGTGTCGTTATCGACATACTTGCCCTGGGCAAGCTTTACCAGAAGGAGGTGGAGCTTCCGGGTCTGCTCAGTATTTGCGCCAATAGAAGACTTGTACACTTCGCGTTCGCGAGCCAGCTTCTTCTGCAACGTGCTGATAAAAACGTCCCGAGCTTGGACCTCGCAGTGCAGACGATTCAAGTCTTCTGCGTGTCGTTCCATAGTGGCTTGAACAGTGGCGAGCATGGCGTCGTTCTTGGCGTTCGACTCGCGGAGAATCTTGACGTGGTGGTGTAAGGCTTCAATCTCAGCGTTTGCAGCCTTGAGGAACGTCTCCGCGTTCTCACGAGCCATGATGTGGGGTGCCACCGAACGCACGGCAGCAGCCTCGGACTGAGCAAACCGCAACTGACGCTCTAAGTCGGCAACGCGTTGGGGTAATGCCGACAGCGCGTCAGGAACAGGTTGTATCGCAGCGAGGACCTCATCGAAACCAATAGCTGTCTCGAGACGACGCTGAGTGTGTATATCGCCGTGGAGAGGAGGCACAACGCTGATCTGCACTTGGTGACGAGCCATTGCAGTCAAGTACGGGATTATCGAGGTCATCATGTGATCGACCGATGCCTCCGTATTTTCAGCCAGCATGGCGCGCAGCGAATCTTCGGTGAGTGGTGGTGGACCACCAGCTGGGGCAGGAGGAGCAGCAGGAGCCATCTCCGCGGATTCAGCGACGACGGGGAGTGCTGCAGGAGCTACCGCAGGAAGTGAAGAGTCTGGCGCAGCGGGCGCTGGAGGACCGGTTGATGACGCTGCTGTCGGAGGAAGTGCAGCAGACTGAGGGGCGTTCGAACCCTCGGTCTTGCCCTCCTGAGAAACAAGTCGAGTAATGCGAGGTGATGAGCAAGGTACCGATGATTCAAGAGAAGGATGGGCTTACGTACCTCCAGCTGCTCACGCTCGCGACGTCTACGAGGATTGAGACGCTGAAACGCGTCGGACACGACTCGATTCAGACGCTTGGACATACGGTGGCGAGATGGTGAATTGAAGAATGAAGAAATGTCACAACGGGCACCAGTACCGTGGCTTCCATGCGACAGGGGCAGTTGTGGTGTAGTGATTTCTCCGTGGTTGCGGATTATCACCCGTCGACAAAGACGTGACACCGCCCAAGTTGTTCAAGCGACGAACCCTCGGTCGGGTGATGTACGGAGACGCCAAGGTGCAAGGGACTCGACGGCGTCACCTCCGAGTTTTCAACAAGTATCGGATACGGCCCTATGTCACTGAATCCAGGCTGTCCTTATTATTAATAATGGACTGGCCGGATTCGCATTCAGCGGACCATCTACGGTACGAACCCTCAGTGGCGGTTGGGATGAGTTCGCGGAATACTCAGCGACCTTTGGAAGACACGTTCACCGTCTGGGACAGGGCGCGGACCGTTAAAGATGCTCATGCGACAGTGCAGACGACGCTTGGCATGCAAGAAGATCCATAACGGATCATTGTTAACTTGATATTTGTATACTTGATTAGGACTTCTTATTAGGAATAGACCCGAAAGGGTAAGCTTAAATACAGAACAGAATTTCCACTCAAGCACACAGAGCGACGTCCGGCTTCAAGGTAAGCGTCAGGTCAAGCTTGTTTGAGTGTGTTATGCCTGTCGGTGAACTCGAAGCTCTGTAGCGAGGGTTCATCCGGCAAGGCCAAGAGACTTTGTGTATTGGCCGATTATTATCGAGAGGTTTTACGTGACGGCTTATTGTTGCCTATTTGCACGGCATGTCAGATTGCTGTCATTCGACAATTCGCCATGGTTGGAAGTGACTACACCGCCCAAGACCACTTTGTGGAGCTTGACTATATCATCTGTGATTCGAACAAGGGTCCAGTATCACCAATGCCGCGGGTGCGGAAAAAATATCGACTGCTCGACACTTTTCTGACGAAAAAGCCAAGCGTTAGCAAGTCGAGGGCGATGAAGCACTCTAAGGTGTGCAAGGCCAAGAAAACGTCGAAGTCCAAGAAAACATCCAAGTCCAAGAAAACGTCTTACAATTATCAAGTTCAATATTTTTTACAAAACGCGTGTGGCGCAGCAAAAGAACAGACACCGCGCTCTTCAGCGGCATGTCAGATTGCTGTCATTCGACAATTCGCCATGGTTGGAAGTGACTACACCTTCCAAGACCACTTTGTGGAGCTTGACTATATCATCTGTGATTCGAACAAGGGTCCAGTATCACCAATGCCGCGGGTGCGGAAAAAATATCGACTGCTCGACACTTTTTTGACGAAAAAGCCAAGCGTTAGCAAGTCGAGGGCGATGAAGCACTCTAAGGTGTGCAAGGCCAAGAAACTTCGAAGTCCAAGAAAACATCCAAGTCCAAGAAAACGTCCTACAATTAGCAAGTTCAATATTATGTACAAAACGCGTGTGGCGCAAAAAAAGAACAGACATCGCGCTCTTCAGCGGCATGTCAGATTGCTGTCATTCGACAATTCGCCATGGTTGGAAGTGACTACACCGCCCAAGACCACTTTGTGGAGCTTGACTATATCATCGGTGATTCGAACAAGGGTCCAGTATCACCAATGCCGCGGGTGCGGAAAAAATATCGACTGCTCGACACTTTTCCGACGTAAAAGCCAAGCGTTAGCAAGTCGAGGGCGATGAAGCACTCTAAGGTGTGCAAGGGCCAGAAAACGTCGAAGTCCAAGAAAACGTCGAAGGACAAGAAAACGTCTTTACAATTATCAAGGTCAATATTTATTACAAAACGCGTGTGGCGCAAAAAAAAGAAGAGACATCGCGCTCCTCAGCGGCATGTCAAGATTGCTGTCATTCGACAATCGCCATTGGCGGGAAGTGACTACACCCGCGCAAGACCACTTTGTGGAGCTTGACTATATCATCTGGGATTCCGACAAGGGGTCCAGTATCACAAAGCGGCGGGTGCGGAAAAAATATCGACTGGTCGCACTTTTTCTGACGAAAAAGCAAGCCTAAAGCAGTCGAGGCGATAGAGGCCTCTAGGTGGTTGAAGTCAAAGAAAATGCGTAGTCGCAAGAAAACATCTCAGTCCAAAAAAAGTGCTTTAACATTATGGAGTTCAATATTTTTTTGCCAA